GTGACCAACGTAGCTCGATGCGCGCGGCTCGATACTTCGAGCATAAACATCGACTCGCGTCACCCGCGCCCACCGCCACCACGTCCCGCTCGACCTCGACCCAGCGATATGCGGCTGCTGATACGAAAGCTGCTCCGGATTTGACGCAACTCGATTTGCGATTCGATTCGCGATCGTCGCCTGTCTTCCCCGACAACACGCGGTCTAGTCTTTTCCGTCGAGAGATTTTTATAAATCTCGGTACACTTCAGAAAGCTTCTTCATCGCGAGACGTCCACAATTGGCCGGTTCTCTCTGCGAATCGGTCTTTCGACTCTGGCGAACTTTTTTTTTCTCCAAACTAGGTCGCCGCGGGAAGTTACTTCGCCCAAGTGCGCCAAGTTTCTTGAGTTCACTACAGACTTTTGCTCCTCTTCTTTCAGTTTCCCGGAAATCGTTGTGATCGGTCCAGGTTATTCAACAAGCATCGCCGATCCGTCCGGTCGATCGCCGAATCGATACACGTCGGCCGGTCCAACGCGAACCGCGCGGTGTCCGCTCGTGCGCGCACGCGCGGAAATCGCCGTCGAAATCGCCAGTCTTCAAGATCGAAACGTCGATACGCCGATAAGGGTTGTCTCGTCCATAATGGCACCGCGTCGCGTATATGGAGATTCACTCTTCAAGATGTCCTCCTATGGCCGCGAGAACGAACGATCCGCGAGAACGATAACTCGATCGGGCGACACCGACGGCGGAATTCGCACACACGCGTGTACAGAGACATACACACAGACAGACACACACGTATACACCGGCCAGGGGTGGCAGAGAAGAAGAGGGGTCGTCGACGATTGGTCGTGGTCGGCGTCGATACGAAGATCAATGGCCGCCCGCGCTCTCTTCTGCGTGTATATAGAGAGAGAGCGAGAGAGACGACGATGGCGTCGAATCGACTGTCAGGCACTTGGGCCGCGCGCTTTCGATCGATCGGCTTTGTGGAGTGTCGAAGTCGCGGCCCGATGCTTCGCGCGCTCGATGGCGCACCTGACCTCGAAGAGTGGCGCGCGAGAGAGCAGACGATTCCTTCGGATAACCAACTTCTCTTCCTTTCGGACGGGGTGTTCTTCGCGGCTTTCCGATCCTGGACTTCGTCAACGTCGGCTCGCGCCCGCGTGCGCACGCTTCAAGCGCACCGCGACGCTCTCCTCTGTATGTGTGCGTATGTGTGTTTCTCTTTCTCTCTCTCTCTCTCTCTCTCTCTCTCTCCCTTTCTCTCTCCTTCCCTTTCCCTCTTTGCACCCCTCAACGCTGTCGTCGTCTTCGTACTTCTGAATTCCGTCGCAGTTTGTCCGGCACGAGAATTTTCTCCCGAGCAGATGGACTGGATTCCCTCGCGCGCAGAATAATTCCTCCTTTTCCTCTTATTCTTCCGCGTTCCTCTTCCTCTTCTTGGTCTCGGACCTCAGATCTCCGGAGCGCCCGCAGGAATCGCGCGAGGCGAGAAGGACGTTTTCTACGGCAAGGGCGCGCACGAGGTCGAATCGTGTGGTGTTGTTGGAACACACGGAGAGAAAACGAGCGCGTCTCGCGCTCGCACGGAGTTGTGCGGAGTTGCGCAAATCGCGAATGCTATGCTACGCGAGAGCCTCCGGCAGGAGGGTGCCTTTCTCTCCATCTCTCTCACTCTCTCTCTCTCTCTCTCTCTCTCTCTCTCTCTCTCTCTCTCTCTCTTCTTTGCTCTCTCGCGCGCTCTTCCTCTCGCTCTCTCCCGCGGAGCGAGACGGGAGCGACAGAGTTGAGGGGGTTGCAAGAGTACGGCGGGGAGGGAGAGGGGCGGAGATCTCGCCACGGGGATCTGTAACGAACTCGATACGCAGGGGTTCGAGGAGAGGGACGGGACGCGGCTCCGGGGGATGAAGAGTGAAGAAGGGTGACGCTGCTTGGGGACGAGGGAACCGGGGGGTGGACCAACGAGTCAGGGGTGGCCCAGGGACCACTCGACCACGTCCGGTACCCTGAACGACGCACAATGTTGCTTCTCAATTAGACGAATCTCTTCCTACATGCATTTGCGCGTTCGTTTTTTTGCTCCCCCTCTCATTTACTTCACGATGCAGATCGATAACCAGGTTCGATGTACTCTCGTGGTTTGATTTATCGAGCGACAAAGGACAATCATCGATTCGTTGTTACTCGGAGGTCTGTGTTTGCTATCGGTGTATTGTCAGCGATATCGATCCGTCGAATTGACTGACACGCCATGGCTGTCACGCTGCGGTATCTTTATACCGACACCTGCGTGCGCGCGTTGAATTCTCAAAAATTTACTTGAGGCTCTTGGAAATCGATTGTGTAAATTGTGAAAAATGACAAGACTAAGCAAATTGAAGAGAATATTTATAATTTCATTAGTTATAATTTCAACACTTGAAAAATTTGCTCACTTTTGTAATTTTCACCTCGTTTTATGATACATAATCTATCCTTGTATCATTCAGTACGGATGTATATTTAGATTGATGATAGTAAGAAGAAGATACGTAATGAAAATTAATGCAAAAATCTATTAAAATATAAATATTTTTCACGATAAAACAATATTTGCATTTTATATATACTTGTAAAATATATTGAAAATTTTTTTATTTTAGAATAGAATGAAATTATATTTAAATTATAATTATATTTATTTCTTTCAATTCAAAAGCTATCATACATTGTTTCATTTTTTAATTAGGCACAATTCAATTCCAAATATTTATTAATTATATAAGACAAACGAAATTACTGATACATTGTTGTTTTATTTAGAAATATTTTCATTTTAATATAAACTGTGAGAATTATTTTTCTTGCTTCTGACGTCATAATCACTGCAGACAGTAGATAGTTTTCATTCTATTGAAGTGCTGGCGAACAAACAAGAGGACAACACGAAATGAGATTTTGAAAATTAACGGAACAATCGGACGGTGTATTTTTAATAAACGAGTCCAGTGTAAACACATTGAGTGTTTCAATATTAAACGCGCATGCAGAGTTCGTTAATGTTCAATTCAATGGGACTAAATAAGCGAAAGTGAGATCTTTTCTGTAACGTCGAGTGATTACGCACAGAGCTTTACAGTTTGACGAGCGCGCTGTGCTTACAGTCCTGATTTTATACGATTAAATATTCTGAAATACCCGGGAGCATTTTGTATCTTAACGACAAAGTAACAACAAAACGTTCTAACGCAAATAATAAAAATAAAAGCAATATAACATTTTAACGAAAACTTAAACGCTGATATTTTTTTAATAATATAACTGAACAAACAATATGTTTTGTTTATATATATATATA